GCTGCTACCAAACCACCATCAACACCCTCTGTGACCTTATCAACAGTAAAGCAATTCTCTCGATCGAGTGCTAACTTTAGAAGAGCTGCAAGGTGTTCAATTCGAGACACCAATGCTGCAGGTGGTCCCGGAGGAGCTTTCGTGGGCTTAGCTTTTGTCATGAGGAGATGTGGTACAGTGAAAATTGTAAATATTCCAATAATGTTCTCAATATTCCTCAAATTGCAAATTCCAACGGTCAACCGCAAACCATGCTCGGGGCCGGTGCCCTGATGCGTTCGGCGTTACCCTCCATCCACGGCCGCCATCGGTTTCTTATTTTGGAAACGGTCACGGATCACGACCCCACGGTTTCTCTCCGGAAAACCAAATGGGGTGTCACGGTCGGGTTGGCCGTTTCTTCCATACATAGAGGGACAGTAGTGCCATCACAATGGTGAGCCCCGTTGCCGTGTACCAGACTTACATTTTCATCGCAGCAGACGTCAGGCGGTGCCACGTTGGATCCAGAATGATTGATCAACAAGTTGTGATCCGATTGACACGGGCCCACAGTCGGGTTTCCCACCAGACTATCCTGCCTCAAACTCGACATCTCCGAGAGGCTCAGACTTGAAGTGCTTTTCAAGGGCGTACACATCCTTGGCTTTTCGATCGTCTCTTTTCGACCCATCCCTTCCATTATATGAGAAATGCTAAATGCGCACGCATCACTGTCGCGTCTTGTTCGGCCCACTGTAGAAAAATCTCGTCAGCCTCCCTGGAATACCACTATATAACATGCCGCATGTGCTCGTTGGTTCTGTTGGATCCCTCCAAAAACTTTCTGACCGAACTAGGGAGCCATGAAAAGCTCTCTCCTCACATTCTTTTACTATACACACACTCTTTTTGTTTTTTCTTCATGCGTTGTAATCAGGCCTCCAATGTCACATGGCGACCAAGTCAATCCCTCACTTCGTCACCGAAGATTCTCCCTTGCTTCTAGAGGACGAATTCAACCACCTCTATCCCCCACTGCAAGAGGAGAAGTTATAGCTGCTGCATATCCACAACCACCCGACACTAACACTCCGAAGATGTCCAAGCCTCGAGCAGACAAGGACGTCACGGTGATAAGTAACATACGCGATCGGCGCATCGATTCAATCCTAAATGCACAGACTGGGAGTCCTAACATTTCAGCATGGTACGTGCACGCACCGTTTATACCCCATCGATCATGTAACTTGAGTTAAAGTACAGGCTCTCTACCCTCGACGAGAACGGCAAGTGGCCTGACTCTGAAGTCGACTATACCACAGGCTGTGAAGCCCGTCGCGCAAACTGGCCTGCCCAAACCCACTGGAACCGTACGCGTGAGTTATTCTGTTTATCGTCGCATTTCGCAGCACGCTCAATTGCAGTAGTTGCGATGGCGGCCGCCTGGTATAGGAACATCAATGACACTGACCAGTCAAAGTCAAGCACAAACGCGGATCTCTTGAACGGGACGACGCGCGCTATGAACTATTGGTTTAGCCGCGACTTTACTGACGAGGCATGTTTGGGATCCGGCGGCGCCAAAGGCTCGAGCTGTACTTGCGAGAACCCTAACAATTGGCTCTGGTACATATCTAGTACCTTGATAACAAAGACGTGTATTAACATGATAACATCAGGAATACAAACTGGTACTCCAACGTGCGCATCGTTACTTTTTCATAATCTGTTCTACGAATTCATCTGTGTTGGCTTCTAGGTTATCCTTATCCCGAAATACGTTGGCGCCACCTCGCTTCTGCTACGTGATGTCCTCACCCCAGACCAGGTGGCCGTTTTCAAGCGTATGGCAACACGGTCCTACGAATATAACGTGAAGGGCCTTACTGGTGCCAACGTGCTCGACGTCGCGCGAATCGCTATGGACTTCGCGCTCCTCACCGATGATACTGACTTCTTGGCGGAAGCCTACCAACGTTCTCACCAAGAACTAGTTATTATGAATAAGGTCAAGGCAGACGGCATCCGTGCTGATGGGGCCTTCGGTATGTTCAAACATTATTGGCATCACGAGAAATAGGCTGACGGTATTTTCTTTGACAGGCCAGCACGATGGGATGTTGTACAACGGAAACTATGGTCAGGTCATCATTTATTTCAACTAAAATCAGAGTATTGATGATAACGTCTTAGGAAAGGACTAGTATGAGATTATTTACTTTGATATTATAACTTCTACTAACACTCTATAGCTCTAATGCAATCCTCGGTGCAGAAATCGAAGCCGCTGGAACTGAATATGGTGCCGATACGACTTCCCAAACAGCCTTTGGGACATTATTCGAAGGCAATAGTTGGATGATCATCAGGAACACGCTTACGAACGTATTACACTGGGACTTTGTGCGTATTCATAAATCGTATCTCCACAATATCATCCTCACACGTTTCGTAACTCCAGTCCGCACTTGGCCGTTTCATCACGTTCCCCGTTGCAGATCTTCAGTGAGTATTCCAATCTTGAAGCCGATCAAAGTTGATGTTTTTCAGAGCCACAGGAGACATTAGAACGGATCTATCCCTTGTTGCAAAACTTGGGCAGTTATGGAACTCAAAACAGCTTTCAAATTTTGCAAGTAGCTTGTCTGCACCCTCGAATGTCAATGCGGGAGGTCTGGTTGGGAACCGCATGTTCTTTACTAACGATTACATGGTATGGTTGTTGGCGTTGTGGCCATTTACGGGTGTTGATTCCTTATCTCATATGTACAGGTCCACCGCGGACACAACTACGTTTCAACATTGAAAATGTGGTCCTCGCGTACGCGACATACTGAATGCACCAACTCCCAGAATGTATGTCGCACTATGGGCACCTTGAGTAAGACATGATATTGACAATCTCTTTAGCCCCTGGGTTTCCACCTGGCCGACGGAGTCTCGTATACCCACATCCAAGGCAACGAATATGAAGACATCGCCGCTGCATGGGACTGGAACATCATCCCGGGGATAACCACCGATTATGGCGTTACCGCCCTGACGTGTGCAAATACAAAACGCCTCGGGCTTGAGTCCTTCGTGGGCGGTGCGTCAGACGGCAACATTGGGCTTGCAGCGATGCGCTACACCAATCCCGTCACCAAGGCGCTCAAGTGGCAAAAAGCCTGGTTCTACCTCCCTGGCGACGTCCAGCGGGTCATCGTCTCTAGCCTCAGCAGCTCGTCTATCCCTAAAGCGTCACTCGTCTCAGTCCTCGACCAGCGCCGCCATGTAGGGCCTGTTGTCGTGGACGGTGTCCCTGTCACTACGCCATCATCTAGCAACTTTACCGGCGCGCAAACCCTATGGCATGGCGGTGTTGGGTGCCAGTTTGCTTTGAACACCGGCGCGTCAATATCTGTTCAAACGGGGGTGAAGACAGGTGACTGGGCTGCGATAGGAGTATCGACGCAGCCCCCAGCTGTCGTAGATCTGTTTGCGGCGTGGATCCAGCACCAGGGTTCTGATGCGGAGGGCGTTGTGTATGATGTCTTCCCCGGGACAGAAAGTGCTGAAGCCTTTGAGGCCAAGCGCCTGAAGGCAAGAGTGCGTACGTTACAGAGCGCCGACGAGAGGGAGGTCTCGGCGGTGATGGATGACAGGAACGATATCTTCATGGGTGTATTTTGGGATGCTAGGGGCGGGAGCGTAACCTTCAAGCCGAACCTGGGCGCCTCCCTTACGATCACGGTAGATGGGGGCGCAGCTGTAGTTTACAAGATGCGGGATGGTGCTTTGACCGTTTCGGACCCGTCGCAAAGCCTCTCGGAGGTGACAGTCACTCTGAGCTGGGGCGAGGGAGATGTAAGTTCGTGGTGGAGTGGCTCAAGAGAAGAGAAAAAGCTTGTGCCGCTCCCGCAAGGAGGAATAGCAGGGGCGAGTGTGAGTGTCAAGCTGTAGATATGGATGTATATACATGATCAGCTGAGATATCTTCTACGCGTTTTCCGTTAGGCCCAAGTACAAATACCCTCATACTTGACTGGTATCACACGTGGACGGTATTGGTTTGAGAAAACCTCCTCCAATATCATCACGCATACCTTATGGTTGTGAGTCAAAAAGAGCCAAGAAATGCTCTGCGCAAAAATTCCCTCTAGCCGACTTGAACGACTGACCTCGTCATAACATGAAGTTACTAGTGACGCGCTCTACCACTGAGCTAAGAGGGAATACATGTATTCTTCTACAACAATCAATTTCAAATTCTGTCAATTGTAATGGGCGAACGTGTGATCTCCGACTCATCAGATCCGAAGGATATCATTTCTACTAATAACTATATGTCAATGGCCTCTGAAGTTCCTCAAACAGCAGAGGGATTTGCTGAGGCAAACAGGACCCATTTCGACGCCATCGCTCACAAATACGACGATAGTCCCCACGCGATCGTTCGATCGCGTAGGTACGAGTTGATCCCATAAATCTAGCGCCAACCTTGACCAATTGACTCCTAGGACGGCGGCAAAGATAAGAGAGTTTTATCCATTCGATGAAGAGACGACCACTATTATGGAATACGCCTGTGGGACAGGTCAGTAGCACTTTCCCCACTGGCGGTGGTAGTGATTTACTTTGATCGACCAACTTCAACTTCCGCAGGATTGGTATCCCGCGAACTTGCGCCCTATGTGCGCAGGATCGTCGGTGTCGACATTAGTCAGGGCATGGTCGATCAGTTTAACCTCCGTGTCAATAACCAGGGAATTCAGAAGGAGGAGATGGAAGCGTTCTGTGCCGAACTCAAAGGTGAGCCAGGCGAGCTGAGAGACGAGAAATTCGATGTGGTTGTGGTGAGTACTATTGCATCTTCATGTATATTTATGAGTTCATCGTGGTTTGGTCTATAGTGCGCATCAGCGTACCACCACTTCAAAGACATTAGCGACGTGACCCGTATTCTCGCATATTTCCTAAAGCCTGGAGGCGCACTGCTTGTCGTAGATTTGGCTACACCTGAAGAAGACCAAGCCCACCCATGCCAGGGGCAGGAATATACACATGGAAATGAACACATGCACGAGCACACCCATGGAAACTCTCATAATCCAGACCAGGGGCATGAACACGGGCATGGTCATATGCATGGTCCACTAGATGACCACACGCCAGGATCTATGTTCCCTGAGAGTGTCCATCACATAGTTCCTCACCGTGGCGGTTTAAGCGAGCAAGATATGCGCCAGGCCTTCGAAAGAGCAGGATTGGTGGATTTTAGATATGACCGCGGAATCGTAGCGCAGGAAGATAGGAGGCTATTCATCGCGAAAGGCGTTAAGCGTGGTGGCGTTTGAGGCCTTGACATTGGTAGTAAGGGTTCTCGAATAATTTATCGCTCTCTAAGCGCTCCTCATGCTTCGGAAAGGTTTATAATTTAGCGCACATCTTAAGTAAGCTCTTTTCGTGGGGTTGTCGCTCTGTACTTCGTAGTGGCGTAATTATGACGGCATATTCCGATCAACATGTAAAATCCAAATTCCGTTTGGTTCTCGAGGCGGTGCCGCCTTGTGCTGCTGAGCTGTGCACATTGACAGCAATTACTAGCCAGTAAATCTTATATATCCTGCGGAACTTGGCGCACGATACCGCCAACTCTTTCACCAGCTATGAATTCTGTACGGCGCTTGCTTTCGCACACCCTCAAACCCACATGGTATGATGATCTTGTCTGGGCAGAGACAGAGGAAGAGATGGGGGAAGTCATGGAAAAAATAATTGGCGACTGGAAGAATACTAAAGATCAAGTAAGCAAACTTTTACGCTATTTCTGCCTCGAATGGTGGCTCACAACCCCTCGCTGGTAGTCATTGAACCTGTTATGCTCAACGAGGTGGGGAATGGCATAATATTTCACTTCGACGCAATTTTCTTAAAGAGCTTTAGTACTGTCATCCTCTATTTCTGTCGCGTTACGGGCCCCAAAGAGAGCGACATACTACATAGCATTCCCAAGGCTTTCATGATGTCAGCCTTTTTCTGGGTTGCCATGACCTATCTAAGTGTATTATCTTTGCGCATGATGATTTCCCCAAGGAATGGCCTGGTTTTCTTGGTGGGTGAAGCTTTCTTGATTGATGCTCATGATAGTCAGAACTAATCCGGCATCTCAAAAGGATATGATTATCCTCAGTAAACTGAGACGCACCACTTTGGTACATCTCGCTTTACTGCCGAGGTATTTCAACGCCGCAAGCATCTTCGCATTGATCCTTGCTTCTATCGCTGCAGGATACATTCACGGCATCGCTTATCTGGGACGCATGCTATCGAAATTCTTTTCGGAGATCACTTTATTTGATGAATGAAATGAATATAATTAGGTATACTGCAGTGTGCACAGTCCTCGTTCGATAACTCCGAGTCAGCCGCGACCTGCCCACGACTACTCGAATGAAGAATCATTTGTTGTCAAAAAACAAAAAAAAAAGAAGAAAAAAAAAGAAAAACTCGAAGTTAATTCCACAGAAAGTGCCTGAACCAGTGGCACAGATGCCTGTTGCAGACTGCGCTCCGCTTACGGTCCATCGCGACCTGGGCCATGAGTCGTCTGATCAACTGTTTTTGCATCATCTCCCATGCGGGCACAAGACTCTGAACTAGCACCGGTCCCCCGATAATGGGAGCCCTGGCTTACTAGCAGTACGCCGACACGATTGGAGGCGAACGTATTCGCATATTAGTTTGGCGATAGATGGAGGTACCTAATACATTTTTGATTTTGTGTGAGAAGTTGCGTCGACGTCGCTGCCAGTTGGAATTGAAATGGGCGGAAATTTATGCAAATAAAATTTGTGTACTTGAAATAATTGAGATATATTTGTGGTATAAGGCCCAAGGAACCAATATTGTGAGTTATTAGCAAGGGATGAGCGGGCTGGGTGAAGGGCTTATAACACTTCTGGCAGGAAAGCATATTTTCTAGTAAATATGTGCCAAAATATATGTTTCATGTTTACTTCTCATATATACTGACTAAAAATGAAACATATTTTCTTTCTTGCAGTCTGGAAATAGTTAGAATGTTTTCTGTCTGCTTTCCAGTAAATATTTAAACTATATACTGGTTGTAAGCCAGAAAATATACAGCCAATA